CAAAGCGAACCAGAGTAAAAGCAGTGCAATCCTGGATTCCTTTCGAAACTCATTTCAAATTCAGTCTTCAAGCAGTTTTTTGATCATGTTTTATGCTCCCCCAATTTTTTCGATTAGTTTAATGAAGACGCAAGCAGAAAAAAGAAAAGTCCTCAGACGATTTCCACTAACCTGTCATCAGTCCCCGCGCGACACATCGTCGGTCTCCACTCAGTGTCAAATCCTACTACATTACCGGGCTGAGCAAGAAAAAACGACGCTCAGTATTCATGATTATATATATATATATATATGCACTGCACTGACGAGACCACATAGGTCGAAACAGTGTGCACTCTGTCTGCAGTATATATATATATATATGTGCATGCATGCATGTATGTGTGCATGCATGCATGCATGCATGTATGTATGTATATATATATATCTATATCTATATATATTTGACAACAGCTGTACAAAGAAGCACGCCCAATAAAAACGAAAAACTGAATCTTCGCCTTCCGGACGCACGGGCAGTCTGAACAATTTTTTTCTTCGTCCCTTGTTGAATTTTGAAAACGAGCATCATGTGAGGGCAAATTCAGACGCAATATATAATTTTATAAGTCAAATTTAACTTCAAACTTTCCACTTGATTCAAACACATAAATTTGTCGACAAGATTATTTCATTACGAAAACAATTGATTGATTGAGAAATATGTCAACAATTATCAGCTTGGCATCTTTTTCACAGAAGAGCCCACGCGAATTTTTACACCAAAAGATAACAACAGACACTTGTTTCCGATATACAAAACTGTAACGTACCTTACAGAGGACTTGCGTACATTCCCTTAAAGACTGAGAGTTATCAACCACGAATATCCTATCTGCAGATAATGGAAGCCGATAGCAATTTGTAGATGTGGACTTAAACGTTGAGGATGTATCGTTGTACACTCTACGTTCAGCCTTTCCTTCTATTTCAGCTTCCCAGTCCTCAGAATCTTCACTCGCGGCTTGCCTTACAAAAGTAAAAATTGGAAAAAAACCAAGCTGATATTCTGATTGGTATTTTATTTTATTTGATTATTTATTTATTTATTTATTTATTTACCAGTTTAAGTCCTCACTCTCGACAGAGCAATACGTACTGCAACTCGCCCATCCCACCCCAGGGGAGGACATCCATCACACAGTGATCTCGTGCGTGGGAAATTAACGTCTCCCTGCAAGAGACGGGACCTACGGTTTATTCGTCCTTATCCGAGAGGACTAGAATGTCTATCCATTTCCTGATATTATAGACAGGTAGCACATTCTCCTCAGTAATTCTAAGACCTTGAGTGTTGGTCCGGCCGGGGCTCGAACCCTCGACCTCCCGCTCAACAGTCCAGCGCTCTATCCATTGAGCTAACCGGGAGGTGGTACTATCAAATAACATCTTAAAAAAGGCTCACATGATTCGTTAAATGTCTCATTGCCTGGCACTGATAATTTCTTAAGTGGAAAATGAACTGATTAGAGGCTGAGAAGTCAAGTCAAACCTTAAGAACTAACTCCTTTTAAGTTAGTTCGTTCGTTACGGTTAGTTCGTTAACAAAAGGAGTTAGAGCTCAGGCTGAAAATTCAAAGAATATATGGACAATAGCTTCTGGACAACATCATCATCATCATCATCATCATCATCATCATCATCATCATCCTCCTCCTCATCATCATCATCATCTCAATTAGGTCGGTAAAGGCAGGTTCTGTAATACACCAACCACTTACAAAATGCAAAAGTAAAAACTACATGCTACCATAGCTACAGTACAGAATAATAAAATTAACTCTACAAATTGACAAACTCTTATTAAGCTAATGGTCCAGCTAATGAACTATAATGGTAACATCTATAACGGAAACCTCGTGGGCTTAATGAGATTATCATTTCTGCTGTTTTCAGAGAAGTACTTTGAAGAGAGAGACCAACAATCTTTTAAATCACCAAAAGATCTATAATTCATTGGGCAGCGTCAAAAACCAAGAGATTGGTTCCTTTTCCTTACACGTCGCTGATGAAGAAACTTGCTATTAAGGCTCGTTCAAACGCACGCATGATTTCAAGGCTACATTTTGCAACACTGCCGCGCGCAACACGTATGGCCGCCCTGTAGCAATATGTTACATCATGTTGCAAGATGTGTGATGGTGTTGGATTAAGTTTGAAGATGATCAAATTTTTGTTGCAATATTTTTGGATGTTGGAGGATGTTGGATGGTGTGTTTGGCCAGTTCCCACACATCATCTCATAACACGATCTAACAATGTTGCAAGATGTTGCGTTGAAACGTTGCGTGCGTTTGGACGGGCCTTTACAGACCCCAAATAAAAATCTTTCTACCTTTGCGGAACCTAACTGTTGTTAGTGTTCTGAGGGTAATTTTGGCATCCAAGCCCGTTATCAACGAAATGAACGTGGATCATGTCCCTTTATATTCAGAAAGCAGTATCTTCCATGATGGAATGCTACTCCCTTGCAGATTAATCTAGCCCCACTGAGCACTTCTCTAGATTTGCATGAGTTAACTGACAATCACTTTAATCCTGAGTGGAATTGAGATACTCCGGATGAGACAAAAGTATCTCTCCTAACAATTAATAGTACGGTACAAACAGCTGATAGGCGTTAATGGCCGTTTGCGTAAACGTGCAAACATTTCGATCAGGCAATAATCCTAAGGAATTAAATAGGGCTGGTCTCGGCAAAAAAACAGTTCATTCAGTTTCGAAATGACTTTTTACCCGAATATTAGTAAGACTTGCTTGTGTGTAAATGACCTTCGAGGCCGGTTCAGAAACCTACCAGGATTCCACAAGATCTTTAATCAAGGGATGAACGGACTCCAGAGGTACGCAATAATACATGGTCCATCTGGCAGCCTCTGCAATATCATCAAACTCAACCAAACTTTCTATTAGTTTGTGTTGCAGCCATTTATTATCCCCCAGGGCACTCTGCAAGGCAAACACAAAATAACTAAACAAAAAATTGTCTTCAAACCGTAAGTGACTTTGTGAACAAATATTCTTGTCTCTTGATCATCTTCCTGCAAGCGCGCGACAAATAAAAAAACTTCCTTATGAGAAATCGAACATAAAGTTTTCGATTTTGCTCTCCACACTCTGCTCTACTGAGCTTCAGGGTATTCAGAGATTTCTGGAGTGTGCTCACTATGACACGACAAAAACACTCCTTCCTTTTTATTCCATAAACGAGCTCGAAATTTTCCGTTTTCGTTATTCCATTTGTCTTTTAATATATATGCAAAAGTGCAGTGGCAGATCCAGAATTTAAGCTAGGAGGGGGGGGGAGGGGTTTGTGCATTTTTACACCTATCTGCATTTATTTTTTACCCAAAATAAGGTGTGAGGCTGGGTGGGCCCTCCAGGTCCCTTCCCTAGATCCACCATTACAGCAGCAAAACACTTTCCATCCTTGAGAAAACTTTAAAGGAAGACTTTCACCTGATCAGATTATGGGAATGCCTCTTGAGGAACATCACCAGATATTCCCCAGTTTTAGCTCAGGCATATTAAGCCTTTTGATGAGATAAATCCAATCATGTACAACCAAAAATATTTGATGGAATAAGATTGCAAGAATTTCTAATGTTTGGATGATCCAGTAACTTAATTTGTAATGCAGTGTACCTCAATGAGATCATCCCACTTGTGACTTACTGGTTGTTTCTGAAAAAAAAGCAAAACCAAAAAAAAAAAAAACAAAACCAAAAAAAAACAAAACAAAGATAAAAATGCTTAGCAATCAATTCAAGTTCTGTGAGACAATGATGCATAGCATACAATCTAAAACATCAGTTCAGGTAAAAAAAATCAAATACAGCCTCTGTAGTTCACAAAAGATTATTACCTCTGAATATTTCTTTGACAATAGATATTTCAATCCATTTAAGTTCTTTTCTTTGTATATGTTAGGGTAGTTCTCTGGAAGAACAGAAAGCAGCTCACATACTGTAACATTACCTTTATACACACCGATATCAGCAGACAACCCCTCAAGGTATAATTATTTAAAAAGGTCAACAACACTCTAAACTTAATACATAGGGTGGGGAAAACACCCAAATCTTAAGAATCTGCATACTTACAATAAATCTTTTCCAGTCCACTATACTCACATTTTTTTTCTGCAGCATGGAATTAACAGCCCGCTGATACACAAGTTAGAGCAATGGTGTACATACATCACATCATACATGATGCGCAGAAATTTATAACTGACCCTCTCTTTGAAAAATCTCAGCTACGACCTGGATTAGAATCTTTTAACAAATTAGTAGATATGCACGATGGTATATTAAAATAATTTCTATACCTGCTTTTAAATGAAACATTTTCACAAGCCTCTCTCCTAACTTAACAAGAATCTTGTTCTTGAGTCTGTGCTCTTTTGGCTTTGGAGAAACAGTCTTCCTGATGAAAAACAAATTTAAGAGGTTTATCTCAATTTGTAATTATAATTGGTGTTAGCAGATAGTGACAAAGGGTTTTTCCACATCTTATCTCCTCCCCAGAGCTGTCATCCTGAAGTTAGAGCAACTTGACAAATAAACGACTCTAGCCAAAACTAGTTTTTTTTTTCAGATTTGCAGTAACCACATCTGCATTTAGTTTTGTCCTCTTTTTCTGCAGTTACAAAAGCCAATGAGATGTTAAGAAAAACTGGTTTGCCAGGGCTAACTTGATCAGTGGATTTGTTTTTATAAATTTCTCATCATCAATAAACTCAATAAAAAGGCCTTCCCTTTTCCCCAACTTTGATCAATGCAACAGTTTAAGTAAACATTCCCTTTGAGATTAACTTGGTATTATGTGCCAGTAACTATAAAATGAGCTCTAAAGATGGCTGTTGTTTCTGTAACCAACTGCAATCAGTAAACTGCATGGGAAGAATAAAATTAAATCAGTTTGGCATATATTTGACAACCATTTTCACTTACTCAACAACCAGCTCCAACTCATCATCTGTCATTACACACAACTCATCAATCATCTTCATAAAAAGTTGTAATGATGTGGGACAGCCTGCCACATAGCTAAATGCAGTTAAAAGTTATAGTGTTATTTAATTTATAAAGTAAAACGAACTGAAATTTACAGTGCATTTTGAGCCTTATATTAATTCATACCAACTTAGCAGTAATTTGTCCAGGTCAATAAGCAACATATAGTATCGATTCCATAAATCAAAAGATTATTGTGTCAGATAAGTAACTCAAAATTTTTTTTGCTCAATTGACAAAGTTTGCACAACAATAAGTATCAATTAATGAATCTTTTTAGCAAACTTGCTATGTTTCCCTTTTGTTTGTTTGAACATGTTTTCAAAAAATGTAACAAGAATTAAAATCACTTCTGGGGGAGTGAAAGGGACAAGGGTCATCATTAAATCACAAACATACCTCTCTGCTAATTGCAACTTGTCCACAATGATCAAAGGTAACAAAATCTACAAAATGTAAATAAACTGTGCTGTTTGTCAAAACATGTAGGTGTGGCTGGATACAGTAAATACTGTTAGATGATCAAAGGTAACAATGATCAAAGGTAACAAAATCTACAAAATGTAAATAAACTGTGCTGTTTGTCAAAACATGTAGGTGTGGCTGCATACAGTAAATACTGTTAGATGATCAAAGGTAACAAAATCTAGAAAATGTAAATAAACTGTGCTGTTTGTCAAAACATGTAGGTGTGGCTGTATACAGTAAAAACTGTTAGATGCACTTCAACTTGAAAACTTGCTAATCAACAAGCTTTAGGGAGAACAACACCTGGAAATTTAAACATGTAGGCTTTTTTAAATCTGCTTGGCAGTTTTTTATGCTTATCAAGCACACAACTTCTTAACAAAATGTTTGGCTGATAATGTTCACTGAGTATTTGACTTGTAAACATTTCCAAGAATACTTGGTTTTCCATTAAAGGTACCTCAAGAAATATACTAGCTAGGTATAATTTGTACAAGAAGTAATAAAAAAAATACTCAAAATACACTGCAGTTTGTTTTGTGCTCTTATTTCTCAAAAAGTGGTTTTAACAACTGGGAACAAAATATCAGACGTCTCGAGTAACAAGCAACTATGTGGTGGAAGAAATTGCCTTTGAACCCTCCAGTTGGATTGCTAAATTGAGAACAGTAAATTCAGTTAATGTTTAGTTATATGCTTGAATAATAAATACATGTAAGTACTAAGTACAGTTCATACCTCAGTTACTTCAAAATGTCTCTGAAGTTTTAACTTGTATGCAATGGTAGCAGCCTGTTGCAAGAATGAAAAAACAACATTGATTTAAAAATTCCTTAATAACCCTTATTTCAAGCTTGTTAAATAAAGAGATTTCAGAGACTGGACATCAAAATCCAACTAATGTTTGACAGAGAGTTTCAAAGGCCCAAAATTTACACACATCATTTAGATTTGGCTTTTACATGAACGTACTTCAGTTGTAAGTAAGAGAAAAAATTTGTTCACTGAGGAAAAACTCAAACCCCAACCTTCCACCTCGTACTGATCTGAATTCTAAATTTCCTAAAATACATATTTATGAAGCAAAGCTACGAAAGATTTGCAAAAGTTCCATGCAACATCTGAAAAAATTAAAAATTGTCACTTATATTGTCTTTACCTCTTTGTACTTTTTCCTGGAGTGCATTAAAAACCTCACATGCTTAGTTAAGAAACTGTTGTCTCCTGAATCAAGTTGAAATGTCCTTTTAACTGGCTCAAAGAGCAGAAATGTGGATGATGCCACAACTTCTAAAGCTAAGTCTTTCTGATTGTCAGTCGGCCAATAACCCAACTTTTGGACTTCTTGCACACCTTTTCCTTCAGTCTTTAACTTCAGCCAGGCCTCCAACTCAACAAGAGTTATATAAGCCAGTGACTTTTTGCCAGCTTGAATATCAAAGTCAGCAAATTTTATAACATACATAACAAAATCAAAGCAATTTCTGCTGGCTTCAAAAGCCCTTGGAAGAAGTGACTTCAGTTCTGTTAACATATCTGAGAAATATAGTGACTCAAGTTCATCCAGCCAGTCTCTTTCTGAAACAAGGTGAAGTGATTTTGTAGCTAAATCTGTCTCAAAATGCTGGGCAGATGCTGAACAAGCTTCTGAATCAGAGGAATGTGTTGAAGATGTTTCATCCCAGTGCAAATCTTTATTTCCATTAACAGCAAGGTAAGAGTTATGCTCCATCATAAATGTTTCATTGTTTGAAGGTTCAGGATCGGGTTCAGTTCTGCTAAGATGTGCATTACTTACAATATCATTATCCCAATCTTCTTCCAAAAAAGTATAGTTAGAATGTGGTGCAAGATTCTCTTGGTTATTTGATTGGTTGAAACCTTTTCTCAAATTATCTGCATTTTCAGACATTACGTTTGAACTCTGTGAGGAAAGTTGTACATGACTATTAGTTTGAAGTTCTCTTCTTCTTGTAGGCTCCCCTGTGAGATGAAAAATGAAAGGTGCAGAGCTATAGGTGAGAAAGAGTTACAAAGTAACGCATACTGTGCAACAATAAAGACATATATATATATATATATTTATTAAAAACTAGATCATTGGATAATGCAATTCAAGACTTTTTATTGGCTTAGCCATTATGGTATATCAGCCAATATACCATAATGTACAAATATGGCAAGCGAATGTGTCAGATTAAAATTAAAAGGGAGCTAAAAATTGAATAAAATTTAATTTAATTTAACATTTTTAATAAAACAATTATTCCACTCGCGCTTGTTGGATATGAGATGATTATAGCCAACTCGGCGCTACGCGCCTCGTTGGCTATCTATCATCTCATATCCAACGCGCGCTCGTGGAATAATTCAAT